TATATTTTAGTTTGTACCCACTTTTAATTTGCAACATTTTTTAAATTTGTAGTATTTTCTTTTTAGTTTTATTTTGTACCCATGTATTAATTTCTTTTAGCGCCTGTATTTTTTTTTTTAAATTCATTTGTACTTGTAATTTTTTAATCTTTTATATGTACCCTAATTTATTTATAATGTACCCATTCTTCTTTATTAATGTACCACTTTGTTATATGTGAAATGTACCAATTTTTTTAACACTATGGATACATTCTTTTGCCATTTATTATTTATACTTAGTTTTTATCCATTTATTCAATCAAAATGTTTGAAAATTTTTATTGTAACTGTTTCTAATAGTATTATAATGAGGGATTTTAAATTTATAAGATTATAAATCTCATAAAATATCAAACAATTAATGTCAAAACTATAAAAATATAAATATTAATTGTAATATAATGAGGTGTACAAAGTCAAGGGACTTTGATCAAACTTTGAATACCACTATGTTTGGATGAGGGAAATAAACTTGGAATTTGGATAAAAGTTGAAATTTATAAATTGACATTCACCAATTCCTTATTTGGATTTATAACATAGAAATTTAGAATTTCCGCGTGGAAAAAAAACTTGGAATTTGGGGCCTTCAATTTCCAAGTTTAAATTCCACATAAGTCATTTCTCAATTTCTATGATTGAGAGTTTAAAATTAACAAATTCCTTTTCAATTCCATTGTTCTTTTAAGTTAACCAAACAACAAAATTCACAAATTCTAGAAAAAAAAATCCCTTCATTTCAATTTCCATCATTTTAAAATTCCATAATAATCTTAAATTTCTTCATTCAAACATAGTTTTAAGGTTTTAGTCAAAGAATGTTAAGGATTAGGGACATCATCCAAAGTATCCCTTAAAAATACCTAGATGAATACCTTATTACTGATGGTTATCTTCGAGAAAGGCTTGCAACTGGAGGGAGATCGACGAGGACAGTAGTCGTGCAGGAAGAACAAAATGAGAGATTTGCAGAATTGAGAGAGAGTGAAGATCGAAGAAGGATTGGAGAAGAAAAAGACGTCAAGGAGAGGGAAAACTTAAAAAGTAGGTAATTCTTAGTTTACCATCTTGAAGTTTATTGATTTTCAACGTTTCATACATAAGTTTTTTTTTTTTTTTAATCCTAGTCTAGTACCTAGAGTGTTAATTTTAGGATAATTTCATATATCCATTAAGTTTTCTGTTAAAGCCGCTGTTAACTTGTGACATGGCGGCTACGTGGATTATAACTGGGCACCACGTGTCAATATGGGCACGTGAATAATAAAAAATTTAAAAATTTAAAAACCTAAAAAACAAAAAAAGTCTCCAAATCTAATTTTTCTTAACACGTATCTAGCTAGTACATATTTTTTTTTTAACAAAAAATAGTACATAATTAAATCACATATTTTTCAAACGCTACCTATTGCTCAACATTAGTGGACTCAACAATGCTATAAACTTGCAAGTGACTTTTTACTACAGTGATGAAAATGAGTTGAGTTATTGCATGACGATATGAGTTTGAACTCTATCGATGGCTAATCTAACAAAATATATCGTTTGACAAATAAAAAAAAAACAATGCTATAACTCTGCCACTGTGTTCTCATTACCACCGTTGGTTTTGCAGCCATCTTTGCCGTTACTGGCCAGTATGTTAAGGACGAAACGCCAGGGCTTACACTTGGACAAGCTTATATGGCAAATAATGCAGCTTTCATAATTAAACCACCAAAACAAAAAACTAGAGTAACTCTCAGTTTACTACTATGAATGTTCTTTATTTTCAACATTTCATATATCAAGTTTTTTTCATCTTAGTTTGGTACCTAAAGTGATAATTCTTGGACAATTTCATACATCTGTTAAGCTTTCTGTAAAACAACAATTAACTTGTGATGTGACACCCAAGTGTATAATAACTGGGCACCGTGTGTCAATCTAGGGCCCATGTGAATATTAAAAAATTTAAAGATTTTAAAATTTTAAAATTTAAAAAGTAAAAAAAGTAAAAAAATTAAAAACTAAAAAATAAAGGGATTGAAAACATCGAGTTCCTGGTACTAGAATTTGTTCTCGAACCGGAAACTTACTTTCTAGGAAAACGAGATGGGCCCTCTTCCTTGGTTCGTAGTTAGAGCAATCAGTGTAGACGAAGTAAGTGAGCCAGACGAGATCAATGCTGGTATAGGTGACGAGAAGAAGGCACTGTGGAGGAGTTCCGATGCTAAGATCGATGAAGTTCTGTTGAAAATCAAGAAACTTCAAGATAATGAACTGAGATTTTTCCTAGTTTTTAATTTAAATTTTTTTAATGTCCACATGGCATGAGATTATCCACGTGGGCGCCACGTCATCAGTTAACGGAGGTTTTGAAGAAAAACTTAACAAATGTATGAGAGTGTCCAAGAATTATAACTTTAGGTACTAAACTGAGACGAAAAAAACTTTATGCATGAAATGCTGAAAACCAATAAACTTTAAGGTAGTAAACTGAAATTAGTAAAAAAAAAATTCTAAAAATAAGAGCATCTACGATGAAGATGTCAAAGGATAAATGTCAAATGTTAATTTGATGACTGACATGATGATGTCAAATTTTCTCATTTTCCAACCCATATGTTTTTTGTTGTTATAATGATATTTATAGGATCCATTTTTAAAAAGAAATCTATTAAAATAAATTTTCAAGATTTATAATTGGTGCATTAATGAGACCCACACCATAAAATAATTGATAACACCTTTTTTTATATGTTAAATTTGACATCAAAAGATTAATATATCAATCAACGTAGAATTGACATATCGATTGAAGCTTTTCCTACCTTCAAATTTTTTTTTTTTAATGAACAATATTATCTACACTAAGAAGGGAGGGGGATGGCTTATCCTCACATGGCTAGCATTAATGTGATTTGAATTTACTTTTGACAAGGAATGAACCTAAGATCTCTCACTTGTTGGGAAATAATAATATTACTACACCGTAATCTTTCTATCTTATTTGAAAATGATTTAAGTTCCTCAATATCTCAAATCACAAAATGCCAAATTTCCTCACCTCCTGTATTACCATTCTTAGAAGCAGCAGCTCTAGCAGCACCTCCGCCGCCGGAATTTACAAAGAGAATCCAAATCCGTTGTTTTTTCTCTTTTGATTTGCTTTTGCTTCCTCAATCAAGGTGTACTGGGGACCATGAGTGGGGGACGTGAGTAAAAAAATTACTCATTGTATGTACCCCCTCTTCCTCAAGAAGGAGACAAAGTAGTGAGCAGCATCAACGAGTCGTCAACGTTGTGCAGGGACCTCTCATCTGCCGCCAACATGAAGATTGCGCGCGCCTCCGCTTTCTTGGCTAGCCTTGCGGCCAGATTCACGATCGTCGCCAAGACATTCGATACTGCCGGGGGAAGCTAGGGTTATTGAATTCGTGGTTCCGTGGGTGGGTTTCATGGCTTCAATAGATCAAGAACTGACCTGGGCAGAGTGGTGGCATGGATGCGGGTTGTGTGCAGATGTCGTTGGTTTGCAAGTTCAACTTGGCCCCATTGAACTCGAACCCATCAAACCCATTGAACCCGAAATCACGTCCACATCGCCACCTGACGATCTGAAAAATTAGAAGGAACCCGTTACATGGGCCTCCAAAACAACAACTACAAAGGGCCAACCCATGGGTTGAGCCGACAATAGAAAACATTGAACAAACCCTAGCCGCCAAGTTCTCATGCTGCCGCCGAAGCACTTCTCGACGACCACAAACCAGCCTCCTTGCAACCGCTAGAGAAGAAACCAAACCAAGCCCCAAACACAAAATGAGAAGCTGTCATTGTCCTCGATCAAACCACAATGAACCAATCTGCCACCACCAAGGGAATAAACGCAAGAAGGAAACCAATGGGACCACTGGCAACAGTGTCGAGATCGACACACAAGGGAAAGGTGGTGGTGTGAACACCCGAGCCTGAGCTCTACTCACCTTCTGATGAAGGAGTGAAAAAAGGCGGAACAAAGTAACGGTAGATCGGATCACAGGTGGAATCGAGAAAGGCCAAAGCCAAGTGGGAGGGGAAGAAGAAGAAGCAATTGGACGCATGGAGGGAGAAAGATAATGGAGGGAAGGATAAGAGGGAAATCGGAAAAAGAGGTTTTCCGATCGGGGCAAAGCACGGCTAAAATTGTCAAGTGTGTTTGTATATAAATATTGTGTCAGAGATATCAATCAATTTAAGAGCTTTCATTTTTCCTTTTCAATCTCTCTCTTGTTTCTCTATCATCTCCTTCTGTACCATTTAATCTTTCATCTTTTGCAATGTAGTTAAGAAGGAGTTCTACTTTATTCGTCATTTGAAATTTAAACTTCATATACAAACTTAGTGTTAACAATATTTCCGTCCACAATATCATATTTCTTTCAGCTTTCTTGAGGAAACGTTTGAATCAGGCTGTCCATTTCTTTTGGTACCTCTTTAGGCCATCATTTTAATCTACAAATACGATACCAAATTGAACTGTCTATCCATCAATCCATTCAAAGTTGTCTAGCACTGACCATGCAAAGTATTCCTTAACTTTAACACCATTCCTGCATCCAACAAAAATAATTGAGAGAGAAGATGAATAATAAAATGCATTGATCATCATGTAAGAATGTGAGTATGAGATAGAGGAGTTTTAGGACCGGCTATATGTGTTCAATTGGATAGAAAAGTTTGTTAATAAAAGGAATGCTAATCCCTTATGAAGAGGGATTCTGTACAGCATGAAGATCAGAACAAGGAGACAAGAATTTGTTTCCTACATGGATTTTGATAGGGAATCCTAATCAGTTATGGTAAAGATTATATGTATATATATAGTGGCCTCTCTTCTCACAGAGTAAGGCTCATATTCTGGACTTAATCCTATTTATAAGTCGAGCTCTTGATAACCTGCGAGAGAAGAGAAGGTACACTGAAAGTTTGCTGCTATGGCTTCGGGTTCTGCTACAAGTGCAGGTATGTTATTCTTGTTGTGTTTCTCAGATACATAAATTGAATATTTCTCTCTAAGTTGTAGTTCATGTTTTGGTCTTGGTGATTATGATTAAGGGTCTTACATGTGGTATCAGAGCCACAAGACTTATCAACATGAATTCAATCTGTAAAGAAGAAATTTTGTATGTTACTATTAAAAAAAAATAATAAAAAAAATAAAAAAATTTTTTTTTTTTTTTTTTTACTCTTATGAAGAATCGAAGTCTGGTTCTGGAGGAAATAAAAGAAGCGTTGGTGATAATGAACCGTCAAAGGAACCCTTAAGTTATTATCGAGGGAAGGTTTTCCAGAATTGAAGAAAGCAATGCTTTCTTCTATAAACATCGATCTGGGTTTTTTCCTTTCCAAAACTAAAATCTTCTATTTTCAAATTCTAAATCGCTTCCGCTGCCCGATTCGTGAATTTGAGTTATAAAGATTAAAAGGTATGTTGTTAATTGCTTTGAATCCTTTGGTGAAATGTAAAGATGAATGTGTTTACTTTCCCAGTTCATCAACTGCCAACGTAAGTCATATGCATATGTATTTTGATCTTTTAAAGTAGAGATACATACCTTATTAACCATTCGGTGCTTTCTTTGATCACTTTCAAAATGCCTTTTACATGTATGAGACACCATTAAACCATTTGGTGTCTAAGGATATATGGCAGATATCAGCGGATCGTTTTTCAAGTTCTTGCTTAATCATTCCACTCTATGTATGCTTATCAACAGATTGTTGATTAAGACTATATATATGGGTCTGTGATTATAGTCATGATGTGCAAGGTGATGTTGAGATGAAATCAGGAACTAATAAGTTCAAATTGTGATTTCATTGCAGGTTCATCATCTGCAATATCGTTCCGGACTATGAACTTGGCAAACATTCCTGTTCTCATAGGGGGAAGCAACTACAAGAAATGGAGACGTGAGATTGGGCTCTTATTGACACTCAATGACTTTGACATAGCCCTTGAAACTCCCAAGCCGATTCTGACTGATCAAAGTACAAGGGCTGAGAAAGCTGATGCAGAGAGATGGGTCAGAGCAAACAAAGTGGCACTTTCTATACTTGAAAGTGCCATGACTGATACTGTTCGCGGTGGAATCAAGAAGCATGAACTAGCTATTGATTATTTACAAGCAATTGAAAGAAAGTTCAAAGAATCTCAGAAGGCAGAAATCAGTCACTATATGGCAATGCTGACCACATACAAGATTGAGGGCATAGGGTCAATCAGAGACCATATCTTGAAAATGACTGATGCAGCTGAGAAATTAAATTCTTTAGATGTTAATATTGGTGAAAAACAGTTAGTTTTTATGATCCTTCAAGCTCTTCCAAACAAATATAGTCAGTTAAAGGTGTCTTACAACACTCAAGACAAGAACTGGGATGTTGATGAGCTAATAGCACAGTGCGTTCAAGAAGAGGCTAGACAGAAGCAAGAAAGAGGGAAAGAAACTGAAACGGTGCATTTTGTGCAACCAGACAAGGGGAAGAAATAATTCAAATCATTCTCTGGACACTCTGGTAAGAACAACAATACCAAGGTAACCTCTTTTAAGTCTAATGCATCTACCAAAGTAAAGGACTCTATTAAAGGATCTAACAATCTTATGGTCAAAACGAAAAATATTGCCAAACTCAGATGTTTTTTCTGCAAAACTAAAGGACACTTAAGAAAAGATTGTCAAGTTTTTCAGGACTATCTTAAAAGTAAGGGTGTAGAAAATGTCAATGTCTGTGTTGAGTCTAATTTGATTGAAATCCCTGTGAATTCTTGGTGGTTTGACACCGGTTGCTCAGTTCACATTTCAAATTCTTTGGAGGGTTTTGTGAAATCAAAACAAACTGGTTTTAAAAATTATAATGTCTTTGTGGGAGAAGGTACTAAAGTTGCGGTAGAAGCTATAGGCATGGTGTGTTTAAAATTGTCTTCTGGTTTTACACTAAAACTAAAGGATGTGCTTTATGTGCCTAAAATGAGGAGAAATCTGATCTCTGCTTCAAGAATTGTCAAAGACGGTTTTGCCTTTCTAGGTGATGATGAAAGTTTAAAATTTTTTGAAAAGAACCACCTAGATTGTGTTTTGGGAACTGCATTTTTGAGTGACAATCTGTGGTGTCTGAATTGTACTTTGGAATCCCCAAATCAACATGTTTTAAACATAAGCACTAAGAGGATGAACTGCAGTGATGATTCTTTCCTCCTTTGGCACAAGAGGTTAGGCCACATATCCAAAGAAAGAGTTTTAAAATTGTCCAAAGCTCAGTTGATCCCTGAATTAAATCTTGCTACTGCAATTGAGTGTGTTGATTGTGCAAAAGGGAAGATGACTAATTCTAGAAAGTTAGATGCCAAAAGGAGTCAGAATTTGCTAGAGATTATACACACTGACATCTGCGGTCCTTTTCCAACCAAAACTATTTGCGGTAATTCTTATTTTGTCAACTTTATTGATGATTTTTCAAGGTTTTGTTACACTTATTTAATCAGTGAGAAATCATCTGTCCTTGATTATTTCAAAGTTTATAAAACTGAGGTAGAAAAACAATTAGGCAAGACCATTAAGATTGTTAGATCGGATAGAGGAGGAGAGTACTTTGGCAGGTACAGTGAGGCTGGACAACACAAGGGTCCGTTTGCGCTCTATCTTGAACAACAAGGCATTGTTGCTCAATACACTACACCAGGAACACCACAGCAAAACGGAGTTTCAGAAAGGAGGAATCGAACTCTGATTGGAATGGTAAGAAGCATGATGACAAGATCAAAGTTACCAGGATTCCTATGGGGTGAAGCATTGAAGACAGCAACTTATATACTGAACAGAGTTCCGAGCAAAGCGGTTTCATCAACACCTTTTGAAATCTGGAATAGCAGGAAGCCCAGTTTTAGTCATTTCCATGTTTGGGGATGTAAAGCTGAGGCTAGAATTTACAATCCAAATGAGAAGAAATTGGACTCAAGGACAGAATCATGCTATTTCATTGGCTACTCAGAGAAATCTAAAGGCTTCAAGTTTTATTGTCCTCAAGCTCACACCAGGATTCATGAAACTCACAATGCTAGGTTCTTTGAAGATCAAGATATTGCAGACTTATCACAGGGTAGGTTCATTTTTTAAGAGATTGATCAAAATGAGAAGTCCTTTTGCACTAATTCTTACAAAGAAATGTTGATCACTCATGCTTCCATGATTGAATTGGAGGAAGAACAATTAGACTGTCCAGAAGATATTGACAGAATGGAAATTGATCTTGGGTCCCAACCACAGCAACAAGGGGATCCAACTCCAACTGATGATGCACCTATGAATCCGAGCACTGAAGTTCTCCATGATCCGTCATTACCATTGAGACAATTTCAAGAATCAGAAAAACCACAATGTCAAATGACTATGTTTATTTGCAGGAGCATGAGTTTGGTTTTGGTGATATAGATGACCCTCTCACTTATTCTCAGGCCATGAATAGTTCTTAACAATCATTGTGGCACAGTGCAATGAAGGAGGAATTGGAGTCGATGTCAAAAAACTCAGTATGGACATTAGTGGATTCCAATCCTCAATTCAAGGCTATTGGGTGTAAATGGGTTTATAAAACCAAAAGAGATGCTCACGGCAATATTGAACGGTACAAGGCAAGGTTAGTTGCCAAAGGATTCACTCAGAGGGAAGGGGTGGATTACAATGACACCTTTTCTCCCGTCTCTTCCAAGGATTCTATGAGGGTTATCATGGCACTTGTGGCTCATTACAATCTGGAACTGCATCAAATGGATGTCAAAACTGCCTTTCTTAATGGTGAACTGGCCGAAGACATTTACATGAAGCAGCCTCCTGGATTCGTTGAAAAGGGGAAAGCAGACATGGTTTGTAAACTTAACAAGTCAATCTACGGGCTTAAACAGGCATCAAGACAATGGTTCTTAAAGTTTGATCAAGTAGTTACAGGACAAGGTTTTGTGGAAAACAAATTAGATGATTGCATCTATGTTAAGTTTTCAGGCACTAGTTTTATATTTTTAGTGTTATATGTCGATGACATCCTTCTTGCCAGTTCTAACATGAAGCTGCTCAAAGACACTAAGACCATGCTCAGTAAGAATTTTGAAATGAAGGACCTTGGTGAAGCACACTATGTACTTGGTATTGAAATTGTTCGAGATAGATCAAGAAATTTACTCGGTTTATCACAAAAGAGATACATAGAAAGGGTACTCATGAGGTTCAATATGTCAAGCTGCAGTAATGGTGAAATGCCAGTAAACAAGGGAGACAGATTCTCAAAGGCTCAATGTCCTAAGACGCCTATGGAGATAGATAAAATGAAGAATAAGCCTTATGCTTCATTAGTGGGAAGTTTGATGTATACCACTATTTGCACAAGACCGGACATTGCTTTTATAGTTGGAATGTTGGGCAGGTTTCAAGCAAATCCAGGAAAGACACATTGGGTAGCAGCAAAGAAAGTTTTGAGATACTTGCAAAGAACCAAGAACTATATGTTGGTTTATGGCAGGAATGAGCTATTGGAGTTAGTTGGATACACTGATTCTGATTTAGCCGGTGATGTAGATGATAGGAAATCTACTGGAGGTTATATCTTTATGCTAAGTGGTGGTGCAGTCTCCTGGAAAAGTGCAAAACAGACTATCATCGCAACATCGACAATGGAGGCAGAATTTATAGCTTGTTTTGAAGGAATGAAACAAGCTGTATGGTTGAAAAACTTTGTGACAGATTTGAAAGTTGTAAATTCTGTGCAGAGGCCTATCATGATGTATTGTGATAACAATTCTGCAGTATTTTTTAGCAAGAACAATAAGAGAACTTCAGCTTCAAGACTGATGGATGTAAAATTCCTCAAGGTCCGAGAAAAGGTTAGAGAAGGAGCAATTCAGGTGGAGCACTTAAGCACAAATGCAATGATTGCGGATCCTTTGACTAAAGCATTGCCGATTGGAGTATTTAAAACGCATGTCTCTCGGATGGGAATACTTGAATCCTTTGATCAGTGGGAGTAATTCGTTAGTCTTATTATGACTGTTTATTCGCTGCTGTGAAGTTCAGAGAGCTGGTGTGGTGATATAGACAGGTTTCAAATTTCAAATTTAAAATCTTATGGCTGGATAGTATTAGGTTTGTTAGTTTGTTTTGTTTATTTTATCGAATTGAGATCAGTTATGATGATCTATTGTTTCGAACAAAATAAAGTTTGATATAATTCATTTGTTGCTTTTATAATGGTTTCTCCGTTTAAAGCATTTAGTGATGAATTGTTGATTCATGCATTGTTTTGAAGCAAAGATTTGTTTCACATCTTGCTGACAATGATTTGAAATAGTGGGAGCAAATTATTTTGCTTATTGCTGATATTGATCAAATTCACAACGTTGAGCATACAAATTGAATGTCTGTAACTCTTGAAAACCTGTTTGCTTTATTGTGGTAATACAGTTACAAGCGTTCTGCATTTTGAGATGTATGATAGTTGGTTGTGATTGAAATTTTATTAACAAGATTAGTGATCACTTCTATCTGCACATAATTGACTTGGCTGAGTACTTAAAGCTGTTCTCATACTCAAGTGGGAGAATGTAAGAATGTGAGTATGAGATAGAGGAGTTTTAGGACCGGCTATATGTGTTCAATTGGATAGAAAAGTCTTGTTAATAAAAGGAATGCTAATCCCTTATGAAGAGGGATTCTGTACAGCATGAAGATCAGAACAAGGAGACAAGAATTTGTTTCCTACATGGATTTTGATAGGGAATCCTAATCAGTTATGGTAAAGATTATATGTATATATATAGTGGCCTCTCTTCTCACAGAGTAAGGCTCATATTCTGGACTTAATCCTATTTATAAGTCGAGCTCTTGATAACCTGCGAGAGAAGAGAAGGTACATTGAAAGTTTGCTGCTATGGCTTCGGGTTCTGCTACAAGTGCAGGTATGTTATTCTTGCTGTGTTTCTCAGATACATAAATTGAATATTTCTCTCTAAGTTGTAGTTCATGTTTTGGTCTTGGTGATTATGATTAAGGGTCTTACACATCAATGTAATGATTAACCAAAATGAAAGAGTGACATATATATACACACTTACGTAATAGATGCTTGAAGATAAAAGAGGTGCTCACGGTAGAAGTTGGTCGGGTAAAAGTGGTCTTCATAAAATTTTTCAAGTTTTATTTTTTTATCTTATTTTTAATTTGAAAAATAATTTTTTAAATAATAAGAAAGTCTCTTCAATTCTATTCAAGTCTTTAATCAAAGTCCATAAGAATTCTTGAAAAATCTTATGAAAGTTGTAAGGATTCTACCGTCATTTGAAATCTTTCACTTAATTTTTTTTTTAAATTCTCTGACATTCAAATTAACTATACTCACTTAATTTTTTAAATCTTTTATTAATAAGCGCGATTATAAAGAATTTAAGTTTATAGATTGACAGATAATTTATTACAAGCTAAAACAATTAGATGTCGTAGTATATTTTGCTTAGGAACCACTAGTAGAGATAATGTGGCCTAAGGGCATTGATTAATTATCTGTGGCAATTTTTTGTCAAAGGCCACTGTGGGTGAGTACCATAGGCCAAAGGCCATTGATTATCAGTGGCTGTTTAATTGAACACTCAACAATAATTTATTTTCATAAAGAGTACATTACATTCATATAAAATTCAACCACAAAGGGGTACTAGCCATATGGCAATACAAATACGACACACACCAGCAACACATTCAACAAACTGATAATGAAATGAATTGTTGCAACTTATTCTAACTCAAAGTGCTAAACTATAAAAGCTAGAAACTTGTAGAACAACCAATAGAGGAGTTCTACTTTATTCATCATTTGAAATTTAAACTTCATACACAAATTTAGTGTCAACGACGTTGCTGTCCACAATATTCAGATTTCTTCCAGCTTTGTTGAGGAAACGTTTGAACCAATATGTCGATTTCTTTGAGTACCTCCTTAGTCCATGATCGTAATCTACAAATTTGATACCAAATCGAACTGTGTATCCATCATTCCATTCAAAGTTGTCTAGCACTGACCATGCAAAGTATCCTTTAACTTTAACACCTTTCCTGCATCCAACCAAAAAAAAGAAAAAAAGAGAGAGAGATAAGAAGGAATAATAAATTGCGTTGATATCAATATAATGATTAACCAAAATGTAAGAGTGACATATATACACTTACTTGATAGCTGCTCGAAGGTAACAGAGGTGCTCGCGGTAGTAGTCGATTCTAGCGATATCATTAAGGGCTTCCTCAAGTGGTAAGTTGGGATCATTGACCTCATCAATCCCTACAATATAATGCATTTATTAAGTTATTAACTTTTTAACACACATATTTCATTATTTGTATAGTGACACGTGGTGTATCATATCGTATGCCGGTTACATTGAAAAATCTTTCGAGAAATTGGCTCGACTCATATTACGTAGTTAGCCATAATAATTTAGATTTTAAAACAAGTAATTGTATTTTATGCCATTATATATGTGACAATTTGATAAATGTAATTAATTGTTTAAAAGTAATAGTTACCATTCTCAGTAATGTAAATGAATGGGTCATTATACTTTTTCATTGTATAGACCACCAGATCGTGAATTCCTTTTGGGTAAACATATAACCAGTCTGAACCAGCCTGCAACATCATAGAAAAAAATAACTGTTATAATATTTTGGGTGGAAAATCAATTTATTAATAAATCCTCTAAATTTTAATAGCTTAAGCTAATAAGTTGATGTGTACCTGCAGACCAATCGACTTATTATTACGCTCAGCTGCCACAACACATTATATAAATATGATCAACATTAGAATCTAAATTAATCTTTTAAGAGACCTTAATTAATTGGTCAAAAAGGTTTTCAATTTGTAATCACCTGTAATATTAACACAAGGATCTGATAAGTAGCTTGCAGGTTCAGAAGAATTTTGAAGTAATTTGCTCGCATATCTAGCAGTATAGTAATTTACTCCAATAAAATCAAATGACCCATTTATTAACTTTGATTCTTCGTCTGTAAATTTTGGCAATCGTTCTTTAACAAGACTCCGCATGCTGTGTGGATAGTCACCATTCGTCAATGGGTCCATATACCTAAAAAAAATATGGAAATTCCAAGAATGAACTTCTAAATATTATATAGAGTACTACTAGCAGCTAATCAATGTTATAATCATAAAAACAAAACAAATATAAATATGCTGATAAAAAATATGAATATATTAATAAATACACTTGCCATCCAAACACAAAATCCAAAGATCGAAATGCAGCATCTATATCATGCTTTGCCTTCGAAGAGGGTTCAAACCAAGGTGACACCAACGTTATTCCTATGACACCATTTTGGCATTCCTATAAAAGAAAATCAAGAACATTTGTTGATTTAGAGCTATAAAAGGTACAAACTTTGTATATCTTACTATACAAATTGTTTTCCTATTATATTGTAACTTAATAGTACTGACTCGTATAAATTATCAGTTAGGACTAACAAAAGAAATTTAATCAACTGGACCTGATATTTATCCTTGTACAGTTTTACAGCAGCTCCATGAGCAAGGAGTTGGTGGTGTGTCACCAAATATGGCTCAGTAGCCGAATTTCCATCAGTGCAGTTTAAGTTTTGCCATGCAGAGCATCGTCCTGGTGCGTGTTTTCCAGTTGCATAACCATTTGTAGTAAATGTATATGGCTCGTTCACTGTGATCCAATGTTTTACTCGATCGCCAAAATACTTAAAACATAATTCTGCATAGTCCTTAAAGTGATCGCTATATGCATACACATTTCACAAGCGTAATCATTTGTTAATTAATTTGTATGATTTGTTTAAAATAAATTATCAACATTATACGTAGGATAGATTTTGTTCACTTACACAATTCGAGAGCTTAAGAAACCACCATATTCATCTTCTAAAGTTTGGGGAACATCCCAGTGAAAGATTGTCACAAATGGCTTTAGACCTATATATATATATATATATATAGCATAATTATCAATAGAAGAAAATGAAAAGTTAGATTATTAGGTGATGTTTTGTGAGTGCATGTAAACACTTATTATTTATTAATTAATTGGATAATGTATGAGATCAGACAGTTGTATCACCATTGTCTAGGAGTTCATCGATGAGATTGTTGTAGTATTCAATTCCCTTCGTGTTAACACCCCCAGACAACGTTCCATCTAGCAATTACAACTAAACAATCAAATATGCATCTAAATAAATTAATAGAAATTAAGTTAAGAACAAGTTAAACTATAAAGTGACTGGTCTCAAATCGAATATATATGGATGTCGATGATCAACTTTACTTGGTAAAACTCTTGACCATGAAATAGAAAATCTATAAGCATCCATTCCCATATCCTTCATAATCCTCACATCTTCCTGTAATGACACAAAAATATACATAATTTTATGAAAGAAGCTAAATTATTAAAGATCCCAAGGATCCAAACTTTGGTGGGGAATAAAATTCCGTGATTTTGCAACCTTATAACGGTGGTATTGATCAATAGCGACATCTCCATTGCTGCCATCCATAATTTTTTCTGTAATTAAACATAGAAATGTTTTACTACTTAAAGCATACAGTTGGTGGAAATCATACCATGTCACTAGTAAATGAACAGAATACAGAAACCTGGATGGTTGTGGGTGAAGGTGTCCCATATGCTTGGTCCTCTACCACCTTCCTTCCATGCACCTTCTACCTGAAATGTACATGCATATATGAAATTACATTCAAAATGAAGATGTCAATATGATATATACTAATTGTTTCTGACATTGAAATTAATCTAAACCTCAGTATTATATGAAACTCCGAATAAACAAAAAATTATAATGAGTTAAAGCACCAACATACTGACCTGGTAAGCAGATGAAGCTGTACCAAATATAAACCCTGGTTCAAAACTGCTACGGTTGAGAATGTCACAATGGACGGGTGGATATGTAGTTTCAGCTTTGCTATTTGTCAATGAAAAGCCAGTGAGTAGTACCACACATACGAGCAAAGAGCCTAACTGCATTGCCATAATTTACAAGGGTTTTTGATGGTCGAGATAACTAGGTTGGTTCTTGCCTGCATATTGCATGGGGTTTATATAGATAGAGGGACTACGTAGTACACGTGAAAGCATTTATTTATTTGTTTATTTTCTATCTTTATTCGATATAGCAGACTTTTTTCTTCTTTTCAGACAAAATAAATAAATGACATCTTTATACTGTAAATCCAATCGGGACCGCATTCCACTATATATAGCATGCGCATGCACTACAAGAATTTAAGGGGTAAGAAATGTTTGACCATATTCATGAGTGTTCTCATCAGATAAAGCAAGCAACATTTATCTCTTTTTTTTGTTACAAATTAAGCTAGCAACATCTTTGCCAAAATTAATGTTAACAGTTTTCAAGGTAGAAATAACCATGCATGCTCATGAAGTTACTTTCTTAATTCATCACCTCAATGTGATGACAATTTTCAAGTTAAGTTTAGGTTTTTTGGTTTCCTTTGTTGTTTATTTGACATTGAAAAAATATTCACTAGATTTGCTGAAAAGTTGGATGTCCAGTTGCACATTGTTCAGGTGAAGTTAGATATTGGATGGGGTTTTTGAACATTAATTAGTTCTTCAAAAAGATAAAAACTAAATAAATTGGTGTTAGAGTATATACTCAATTTAATCCTTTGAAATGCAGTTTTATTAAAATTTATATTCTATTTTTTATTTAAAGTGTATTTTTTAATGTCTCCACGTTAAAATTTCAATTTAATTAATATGCACATATTAGTTCTTTCAATTATAAATGAACGTAAATGAGAAGATATTAAAAGAAATTAGTGACACAGAAATATGTAAATACATAAGTGTACAAAAATATATTAAATTGATTTCTTTGTACCAAAACTTTTGTACCTAAATGTTTGTATCTAAATATATTATAATGAACATGAATGTATGTACCGAAATGTATTATATTAAATAAATATACTTAAATGTCAATACCGAAATGTGTTATTTGAACTAATGTACCTAAATGTAAATATCGAAATGTGTGTATCAAAATGTATGTACTAGAATGTAATATATTGAACTAAGGCTTTTTAGTCAAAATGGTCCCTGAGATTTGCATAACACATAACTTTGGATCCTGAGATTTAAAATCAATATAAGTGGTCCCTGAGATTGTCCACCATCCATTATTTTGGTCATTCCGTTAAAAAACTCTGTTAAGTTGAGGGTATAACACATAACTTGGTCCCTGAGATTTGCATAACACATAATTTTGGTCCCTGAGATTTGCATAATACATAACTTTGGTCCCTGAGATTATCCACCATCCATCATTTTGGTCATTCCATTAAAAAGCTCAGGGACCACTTAACGGAGTTTTTTAATGGAAAGACCAAAATAATGGATGGTGGACAATCTCAGAGATCACTTCTATTGATTTTAAATTTCAGGATCCAAAGTTATGTGTTATGCAAATCTCAGGGACCATTTTGGCTAAAAAACCTTGAACTAATGTACCTAAGTATATTCGTGATGATGATGGACCAAAATATATCAAATGAATTAATATACCTAAATGAAGAAGATACAGATTGTATAAGAATATATTATATAAGAAAATTAGTTTACCTAAATGCCTACAAAAAAATATATTGTGATGAATGAAATAAAATTTAAATGTAAAATTAGGAAGAAAAAAAGAAATAAAACATCAAAATATAATTAATAAATGAGATGATTAACTATATAGATAAAATTTGGATTTCAATCTTACATAAGATTATAGTCTAAAACTCATCTTTTATTCTTTCCAATCCCTATTATAGTTTTGTGAGAATTGGGAGGATTAATTTCTTCACAACTAATACGTCTTGTATCTTCACTTGACAAAAATTATAAGTAGACTTTTAAATTTTAAATTGAAAAGTCATTGACTTTAGTGAATTATAATGTGTAAGCTAATCATAATTAGCCAAAAGTTAACGACCCTAGAATTGAAATTACCAACATGATTTCCGAACTTTTTTTTATTGCAACCTGAAGATTGCAATTACATGTACTTTTATTGTTTTTGGATATTGATTATTTTTATTTTCTTTATTTTAGACTTTAAATTTCTATATATATAAAGAGAGACACAATTTGATGAAACATTCAAAATATAAAAAAAAATTTCCGGCCCTAACTTAGAACTCCAAAAATCACAATTGAATCAGAATAGGTTAAATAGAAATTTAAAAAAACCCACGCAGTTGGTTTCATGGGCTGCTTTATTTTCTTTTTTAATAAACAATATAAATCAGTTTCTAAATTAAAATAAAAATATATATTAATTCATACAAAAACAATTGTCACACATATGCACTTGTGACAAGAGACTGATTTATTGTGTAAGAGGGCAACTATTTGAACACCTTGCTAACCACTTCTAATATAAGTAGGTTGTACGTAAATAGGTAGAATATACTCCAATATAGGAATGACAACGTTCGGAATGGAGACAGATGTGTCATTTCCATCCTTGTAACTGCAAAAATTACTCACAACCATAACTATATGTTAACCATAGGGTAATCTCCATAACCACACGCAAAGGTTATGGATCCCGTAGAGGTTAATGGGTTTATCGATTTCACCAATAAAAAATGTTATTTTCTCGTAATTAAAGAAAAAGAAAAAATGGTTAAAGAAAAGTTATGACTAAAATATATAAAATTATACATTCATATAAAATTTTAGAAAATATAGAAACGTGATGGTTACTGGTACAGTATCCCTATTCGCATAACCATATCCCAAACGGCTTGGAAAATTTTCAGTTTCCCGATAATCCGTCCCCATACTCAATATCTATATTTAAATCTTGCCCAAATTGGTTTGTACGAATGAAATGCCATCCCTAGCTACAAGTTCAATCCGCCAAATGCGTTTGTTTTTCTTGTATGCTTAGGTATAAATATGATATTATTCTATCTTATGTGGTTAGGTATATAGTAGGTATATGTTATTAACCTATCCTGTATGCGTAGGTACATGTTATTTATCTGTGTTAACTGATTTGGGAATACGATTTTCTCTCGAATGTTTTAGCATTTTCCCCTAAAGTGCTATGCATGTATTCTCGAGACAAAGCAGAACTTTTGATTAGGCATGCGCAAGTAATTAAAATCAGAATTTGTTTTTTATTTTTACAGAAAGTATCCCAACACACCATCCGCAGCCCCACCCACCCCAACCCAAAGCCACATACACTCCTCAAACCCTAGCCGGCAACACATGGAGAAGCATGCATGTCGACACACGTAAAAAAATGTGATTCCATTCTTCACAGCATGCATGCTGCATGAAGAGCATAACTGAACTTTATAGAAGGAAACGAGAGTTTTAACCAAGGAAACCCAAAAAAAAAAAACAGAAAGAAGAAAAGAAAGGAATATAACTGAACTTTATAAAGGGATTCAGATCTTTTGCATGCATTTCGACACGAGGAGAAACATGCATTTCGACACGAGGAGAAACATGCATTTCGACACAAGGAGAATCATGCGTTTCGACACGATGTGAAGCATGCATTTCTCTTTATTTACTGAAAAAATTATTAAATTTAAGTAATGTTTGCCGGGGTGTTAAAGAAAGTGACAAGTAGCCTTGGCCAAGCCTGAAGTTTTGAGGAAGTTTGCATGCATCTATATATTGTAAAAACTGTGGAGACCTTACTTCTGCCATTAAGAATTCGAGTTATGCGCTAGTGTGCAAGTTGTTTGTGAAATTCTTGAGGAAGCTAAACTAAACTAATTGAACTAGAAATGATAGAATCCCAATGCCGGTAACATTGACTCTATCGTCAATGGTGTAGCATATCATATATATCTAAGGGTATGAGTTTTGGGAAGAAATGGAATTGGAGATATGGCGGCAAAGGCATAAGATATTATCCGGTCTAACGAAACTTCTCCATGTTGAATTTTCGTTTAAACAACACCAATCCACAACCAGCAGGCAACTTTTTTTTTTTCCTATTTTTTTCCTTGTTACACTGACTAATAGCTATTTACAGTATGTGAGAGATTTTGAAGGCCGGGTATTCCAATGATACTTTACATGTTATAAAATAAGTAGAACAAATGATGTGAATTCTAAACTAACATTATTTTCCGTATTTGTGTCGAAGTATGATATTTAACGAGTTGTAACAAAACAAATACAATGATTGTGACTTGCACAACGTAGGCTTGACTTTTGATGCCTCTCAACATACAAAATCCATGCAGGGTGGTTTTGAACCCTCCTTCGTCAAGGATTTTCTTCTAGCGAAAAGAGTGCATAAAGCAGGAACCCCTGTTGAAAAGCTGTTTGTTCTCAATAGGGAAATGTGGTCAATGTGAAAAATACCAAACAACAAATTAACAATTTTTGTTGTTGACAATATAGTTATTATTTAAGCTGAAAAGTCCCCGATGAAACTCTTCGAACCTATTTTGTGCATGAACAATTTGGTCGTGATGGTCTAATAGGCTTCCTTCTCAAACAATAAGATGGACTTTGGACTCGCTGAAAATAAGTTTGACTGATGGGTAGTCCTTGGATCATATTTGTGTGTAGAATGCGCTCTTTATGATATTATGTATGATTGCGGTTCTGGTGTATATAATTACTGCAACAAAAAAATCATTTGTTCTTAATGAGATGATAGATATTAAGGAGTGCGTGAGTTTACAAATCATATTTTTCATTGTGGATAACATGCTGGTGCTGGTTTGAGAAAACCAAACATCAAGATGTCATAAATGAGCTGGACAGAGCATGTCTAAAGGTCTTTGTTATGCGAGATGCTGCTATATATGCAAAGGCATACATTCAAAATTTTGAGTGGCTAAAGGACGCAACAATTTCTGTGGTGAATATGAAACGGTCCTCGATTTTAGGCGCATCTTTTAAGTATTTTAGGGTAGGTTTTCATACTTCTTCCACTCTAATAACACATCAACATTTCCCGTTATTAATATTCTGCAAGCCAT